ATCAATCTGTTTTGACTGCTGTAAAAAAGTAAATAAATAAAACTACCCATCTGAAATATTCTGCAATGGTAGTGTTTCCCAATATGCTGCTTACTGAAGGGATCATCACATTTTTTCCCCCATTTATTTTTTATTAGTTGGAGGCTAATTACAATACTGTAGTGGGTTTTGTCATACACTGACATAAATCAGCCATGAATTTACATGTATTCCCCATCCCAATGCCCCCTCCCACCTCCCTCTGGGTCTTCCCAGTGCACATTTTTATCTTGACTTTTAATCACAAAATAAGGGAAGGTGACTTAAATAGAATGCACTGCCAACAGAAACACCGGGTGTCAGGAAAGAAGGATAGACAGAGGTTGAGAAAAGATAGACATTGTAGGGACAGAGGAAAAAATGGGTCTGAGTGGGGGAAAGGGATGAAAGTTGAGAATCTGAAGATGTTTCTGGGGAAAAATGAAGCAGAGCAGAAGGAAGAAGTCAACAAGTGGGAAAAGCCCAGAAAAGTCCCTACAATAGTCTCACCAGGACTTTCCTGATGGTCCAGTGGTTAAGACTCCACGCTTCCAATACAGGAGGCCTGAGTTCAATCCCTCATGAGGGAACTGGATCCCACATGCTGAGTGGTATGGCCAAAAGAAAAAAAAAGTCTCATCTATTTGACCCTTTTGGCCAAACCCCAAAATAGCAGGAACCAATGCAACTGGCTTATTAACTGACAATCCCTATAAAGCTTAAAAGAGAATGAAAAAGTTACTGGAAAGGCAAGTTAAGAAGTGCATATTAAATTCTGTTCCGGTTCCCCTCTCTTCAGTTACACGTGTCTTGGTCTCTGGCCCTGATTCATGTCCAAGGGCATGAACATCATCCCTGGGGGTTCCTCTGCCACCCCCACTCCAGCAGCTCGTCCCGCACCCACCATAACGTGGGAGCCAGCTCTCACAGCGCACTAGAACGTGCTGTCTGATCACAGGTGTCTGTGCTGCCTCTGAATCACGTTCCCTGGATCAGGTGAGGAACCCCCCACAAGCACAGGCAGCAGACTGCTCTGCCCCCGCAGACCACGTTAAGGTCTGGAATCCCCCTCCAGCACAGACTCCCAAGCAGCCCAGCCACCTCCAGCTCTGGTACAGCCCTGACTTGTCACACCACGGAAAATCAGAGGCACATATCTGGACTCGGGAAACCAGATGCCCACATGCCCCACCCCATCAAGCATCTGCCTTCATCAAAACGCTGGAGAAGATTCAGTCACCAGGACAGAGGAGAACCGGGGAACATAAGCCTGGACCAAGAAGCCAAGTTCCTTTATAAATTTTAGCTACAAACCTCTCCATAAACAGAAGTTAGATGAAGCATTTAAGCCCTGAATTATCTCACAGATAACATCGGAGACAGGACCCGAGCCTGAAATGTGTAGGTGGGCACAGATGAGAGCTCAAGTAATTCTCCAGCTTGTTCCAGTCGCTCTGTTTGAAATGAAATTGAGGTTGGGGAGCAACATCTGCAGACAAAGGCTCTAGAACCACCAGCTTCCCCAGAAGATGCAACGAGAAGCTACAGAAGATGCTGGGAGATCACAGATTAGGTTTTGATTCTGAAGAGGGGCAGAAAGAAAAAAAAAATCAGTGCAGGAGGGATCAGAAAGCAAAGAGACTTCATGAACAGTGCCCACAGATATAAGCTGTGCTGAGCGATCTGTGCCCCACCCACCCATCGCCTGCCCCTTGAAACTCTAGAGCAAGAGTCCCCAACCTTTGAGCCACAGACTGGTACCTCCTGTCAGATCAGTGGTGGCATTAGATTAGAAATAAAGTGAGCAATAAATGAATTCGCTTGAATCATCTGGAAACCATCCCCCAGCTTCTGGTCCATGGAAACAGTGTCTTTCACAAAGCCAGTTCCTAGTGCCCAAAAGGCTAGGGACCGCTACTCTGGAGGAAACCCTGATGGAGGTTCACTTTAATGAGATTTTGATTTCCATCAACCCAGTCTGGCACTCCTTGGATATAACCATTAAGTTTTTATCAGCAGGAGTCAGGCTGCTACAGCCCCCATCAACCCCAAGAGCCCTAAGGTTCTTAACAAATGCATTTTGAGATGACACTCCTGGGGTCCCTAGGCTCTTCCATTCCATTAGCTTGAGATTCTGGAATTCTGTTTTAACTGCAGGCAACTATGATGCTTTGGATGAGGATGTAATTCCACCTTTTTTCCCCCAAATGTGCGGCACAGATTTAAAAGACATGTGCAGAAATGTTTTAAAATCCAAAGGGCTGTGTTATATGGAATGCAACTTTGGAAAGCGTTAGGAAGACAAAGAAACACAATAACTTTTATGATGCTTAATGCTCTATTCTCCAACCTTCAGCCAAGTTCCCCAGTAAAAACGGCTAAAAGGAAGGGTGGGTGGACAACAGAGTCAGGTCCAGGAAGGGACAGGATGACCACTCCCCGCAGAAGGCAGCAAGGTGGGTGCAGCAGTGTCCAGATACTGCGTGGTCTCCCGCCTCCCCCACAAATAGTCCCCATTTCAACCTCTCACCACATCTGACATTCTACCTCAAGCTTTGTCCCTCCAGCCCTTAAAAACCCCAGAGAAAGAATGAAAATCTGGAACAAAAATTAGAAACTTACTAGAAAGTCACCTGAAGAAAAAGGTAAGGCATGAATTTCAGGCACAAGAAAATGGTTCAAGTTTCTTATCCACTCCTTCTTGGAATGAGCCCAGTTGTTCGCAGAGCCTAGAAGCAGGTTCTGGTGCAAGAAGAATTCTAGGAACTTTGAGAAGCACCCAGTCTAATGCTGAGGTGTGCCCAACGCCTAAAGCAGTCACTGAGGCTCCATCCAGATCAGGAAAAGTCAGGGAGTCTCATTTTTCAATGAGACTTCTCAAGTAGAGAAGAAAAAGGCACGGAAATAAGCACATGGAGCGCCTTCACTCTGTACCTGGACACACACGCCTCTCCCAAGCCCAGATCAGGCAACTGATTGTTTTTTCTTTTGTTACAGAAGACACTGGTAGAGTCATAGGCAAAATTCAGAAAAGTCGGGACTTGCCTGGTGGTCAGCGGTTAAGAACCTGCCTGCCAACGCAGGGGATATGGGTTCAATCCTTGGTCAGGGGAGGTGACAATGTCATGGGGCAACTAAGTCCATGCAACACACCTACTGAGCCCACACTCCACAGAGTCCGAGAGCTACAACTGCTGAAGCCTGTGTGCCCTAGAGCCTGTTCTCCGTAACAAGAGAAGCCCCCGCAATGAGAAGCCCGTTCAACTGCAGCTAGAGAATAACCCCTGCTCATCACTAGAGAAGACCCACATGCAGCAACGAAGACCCAGCGAGGCCAAAAATACAAATACAATTACAAATAACAAATAACAGTTACAAATAACAAAAGTACAAATACAAAAAAACAAATACAATTTTTAAAAAAATTTAGTAAGGTCTGCAAATTAGGAAGAGGATTGTATTTATGTTAATTTCTCGATTTGGACCACTGTATTGTTATTACAGAGAAGAGTGCCCTTTTTTTTTTTAAGGAAATTCACACTGAGGCATAGAAAAGTAAAGATACATATCATCGGCAACTTACTTTTTAGTGGCTAGAATATTATAATAGGCTTATACATAGAGAGAAGATGGGGCAAACATCGTAACAGCATTTGGAGAATTTGGAGATAGATGAGAATTTTTCATACTATTCCTGTAACTTTTTTAGAAGTCTCAAACTATTTCCCAAACAATAAAGAAAAAAATACAAATACCTGCCCTGAGAAAATTAAGACGTGAGCAGGACAGTGTCAGAGAATTAAGGTGTGACCAGCCCTAGTCTGGGGAATCCAGAGTATACTGGGTGGTCCGTTCAGGTTTGAACAAAGGACCCCAGGCAGCTGCCACAGTGGGCAGAGCCCACCACTGGACCTTGTTCTGCGATACCAGGGTGGCTTCGGGCAGGTCATTTACCTGCTCTGAGCCTCAGCTCAGCTCACCCACATGAAGGGCATAATGATACCTACTTCGTGAAGATTTCATAAAGCGGGTAGCAAAAGGTAGACACTGATAGAATCAGAGCAGAGTAATGACGGTGGGTACTACAGAAGTAACTCAAGCCCCCCGCCCCTACAGCTGACTCTGGGAAACCAACATCACCCTTTAACCCTGGTGACAGGGGCAGGCAGTGGGGACCTGGAGGAAATGTGAAATACAGACCATTCGTCATAACCTGGCCTGGCTTCCCATCACCCGAACTGCCTCATTCTTCGTTAATTAATTGAACCCTGGGCAACAAAGCTCAGTGAGGCATCAGTGCATCTCTTCTAATACTTTATAATTCCCTATGACATGATCCATCTCAAGCCATTTTCACCTTTATCATTTAATTCAATCTTCCCTAATATCTTTCTATCTGCTTATCGATGAAACCTTCCTTCAAAAGGACTGGAGCCTCTGCAGGGAGTTGATTATTATCTCGAACTTCTTGATAAACAACTAGAAATGCTTCTGCTATGTATCTCAGAGAAAATCTCACACTGGGCCCTGAGGAGACAGGAAAGAGGAGGGCATGGTGGCCCCGGGCAGAGAGCAGGAGGCAAGGCGGCTGTTCATCATGGGAGGAGGTGGGGATACACACCACAGGCACAGTTAGAAACAGCGGACCAGATGCTGCACAGCAATAGATCTTGCAAACACAACATGGAGTGCAAAATTCACAAAACAGAAGGCAACGAGAACTGAATGCTAGCAAGTCTCAAAGGAGTTCCATAGTACTCACGAAAACAAATTGTTGAAAGGAGGGCACACTGCTAATGGGTGAAATGAAAAAAACAGAGACAGCCCACACGAGGTTGAGAAGGGGTAAACACAGAAGCGCACGGATAAAAGGCAAGATGGACAGATTTAAAGGAAGAAGGTCGCCGCAGACAGACATGCAGGTGCGCACAGCGGCCAACGCACACTCGCAGACGCGCGCGCCGCCGCCGGGGAGGTCTTACCCGAGGCGCCCGGCCTGCGGCTGGGCTGGCCGGCGTGGTGCAGGCTTTGCTGGAGCAGGCTCAGGCACTCCCCGAGGCAGCTGAGGGTGGCCGCAGAGGTAGCTTTCAGGAGCAATAAGTCCTGGTCCAAGGCAGTGAGGGGACCAGACCCCGGCAGAGACTCGATGGCGTGCACCAGGTTCTTCTGCTGCCCCTCCACCTGGGTCATCATCTGCGGAAAAGGGAGGCAGCGACGAGGTGAGTCGGAAGGCCTCGCTTCCACCGCCCGGGAGCCAGCGCTTAAACCATGGGAGTGGATCAAAGTGGGGTGCAACTGTTTACAATAGCCAGGACATGGAAGCAACCTAGATGCCCATCCGCAGACACCACCCAGACTACAGGCGGCGTGAAGATGCAGTCTGAGGATGCTTGGCACACACCCATCCCAGGATGCCGCAGGCCTGGGATGAAATCCACCCGGGTTCATCTACCCAAAGACACTTGACGTCTGCAGCTCTGCACACAAGAGAATTTTAGAACTTTAGACCTGAAGGGGACCATCAGGCCATCCCGGGTGCATCTTTTACAGGTCTTTGAAAGGTAAAAATACACACACTAAAAGTAGAAGTCTTGTGATCAGCTTTAAGGTCCTTGGACCACAGGAAGGTTATCTGAGACAATGGGCACCCCTGGCTTTGTCTCAGAGCAAGGTTAATTCCTTGCTTTTCTTCTGTCTCCTGTCCATCCCTGATTCCTTGGTGGTCCTCCTTGAAGTTCAGGAAATAAAAGTGAAATCTGGGGCTAGCATTTGTGGGGGTGAGACCACACACAGCAAAACCAGTGTTGAGCCACTCTGCCCCTAAAATGCTAGGAGAGCCCTCACTTCCTTAACACCGTGTGTAGGGAGCCAAGAGGAGGAGAAAAACCCGGAGTTCGAGAGCCAGCCCTGCTCCACTGCTAACGCTGCGACAAACCAGTAACCCCATGGCGGCCTGGCTTCACTCCAAAAGCTACAGAAAAGCAGTGTTTCCTTGGATGAATCAAGGAGAAAGGAATTTAAGAACTAGAAAACGACTTGACTGGTGATCTTGTGAAGTGCATCCTCCTCCTGTTTTTATACCTTATCTTGCTAAACAACATGATGAGCATAAATTGCATAGCCAACCAACAAGCAGTTGAGCTGATATGTGGAGGAGCAAAAGCAGTCCGCCCAAGGTCACAGGTCAGCATTAGAGGCAGGAACCAACTCCTGTTCCCCGGACTCCTTCCCTGTTCTTTAAGCACCTCCCACAAGAGCCATCCTTAATTTGAAGCAGTTGCTCCTGCTCTGTCACCATTATCCCCAGGAGGATCCTGTGACCATCACGAAGCCACCAGCTGGAAAGAAGCAATACCTCTGCAACGACCGCTGGACCCAGACACAAAACCCATCCCACACTTGGGCTTCTCTATTTTCCTTTGAAGACAAATATCTTCTATTTCCTATCACTCTGCATAGTCAACGCCTTAAAAATAAACAGTATGCCCACCGCAATCCTATCTAACCAAAATTGGTGCCATTACGTCAAAAAGATTTTTTTTAATAGTAACATTAAACGTATTACATGCCCATCCTCTGGCCATGTAAGTTATTTTCTGCTGATTACAGAGGTTATAGCTAGCCATTCTGGCTCCTAAAACAGTACCTGAGGCATAATAGGGGCTCAGTAAGAATTCATTTCTTCTTCAGGTCTTTGCTGAAGGGCTGCCTTCTTGGGAAAGCGTCCTGCCCCACATAATTTAAAATCATCCGTACTAGCATGAAAGCAGGAACCATTCTATCTGTGTGATTCACTGACGGATCCCAAGCAACTATCTGCTGAATGAATGAAGGAACCCCCAGGGTCCCCTTCTTTTCACTGAGGTGCAAAAGGATCCATTTATGACACAGAGTCTACAAGAATCATTACAGTCAGTTAGGACAACATGGCTGAAGATTCAGGAAAAATAATACGTCTGTTATCAGTTTAAGTTTGCCAAGAAAATGGTTAAATTTAACATTAAAAAGATAAAATGCTTACATATTCATTGACAGTCAACTCTATGGAGAACTGCTAACGTTTAGAGAGAAGTTGACTTCGAGCTACTTGTTGTAGTCAGCATTTCTGTAAATCCCTACCATAATATCTTGTCTCAGAAAAATGATGTGTTGAAGGAGAAGAAGAAAAATATAACAGAATGTAAATCATATGTTCTTGACTATTACAGATGATGCCATAATGCTTGAGAGAAAAGGTAAATAAAATGAAGCCATTAACTAAGGAATCCACTCATTTTTTAATTTTTATTTTATCTTGAGATATAATTGATTTACAATATTGTGTTAGTTTAAATGCAAAATGATTCACTTATGAATCTACACATACATCCATTCTTTTTCAGATTCTTTTCCCATATAGGTCACCACACAACACTGAATAGGGTTCCCTGTGGTATACGGTAGGTCCTCGGGGATTATCTATTTTCTATGCAGTAGTTGGAATATACTCATTTTTAAATCAACAAAAAGAACTATATCCCAATTATATAGCATAGGATAAATAATTATTTCACAAGCATAAAATATGATGCAAATCTCAGGTGAAAAAAAGACACAAAATTGGGATCCCCTCCCCCCGGCGGTTCAGTGATTAAGAATCCAATTGCCAACGCAGGGGACGCTGGTTCAATCCCTGGTCAGACGGGACTAAGATCCTACAGGCTGTGGAGCTGCTGACCTCAGGCTCCACAACTACCGAGTCCTCACTCGAGACCCTCTGAGCCGCAGTTACTGAGCCTGAGCATCTCGAGCTGGTGCTCTGCATCAAGAGAAACCACCGCGGTGAGAAGCCTGCACGCCGCAACTAGAGAATGTCCCTCTCGCTGCAACTAGAGAAAGCCCATGTGCAGCAACGAAAACCCAGTACAGCTAAAAATCAATGAACACAAAGCTGACTGCCCGAGTCTCCTACTCTATTACAACACAGGCATGCACCCAGAGACGGGTGGCACGTACCTGCTCCCTGGAAAATATCTGACAGTGTTTACTGAGAGCCTGTTGCCAGCGCCAGAGACAGCGTGGCCACCTAGAGGGGACAGCGGAACTGGCGGTGGGTGGATTTGTCACTTACAGTGACTGCAGAACAGCTGGTGCTGAGTGGGAGGGGGCGGGCGTGCCACATGCCCCACAAGCCCGGGCACAGTCCCACTCAGGTACTTTCCTGCTCAAAAATGCCAATAGCGCCCCCCTGAGTCACCCTGTGCTGAAGACAAGCCAGTGACCAGGCACTGGATGGATTTCAGCATCCTTTGGTAAACGAAACACTGAAAGGAAAATGATCCCAGCACGGTGCCTGACATGTTAAGCAGACACCTAGTGATTCATTTTCTCTCCCTTTTCCATGTGATGTGAAACAGAACTTTGGTCTTTACAGACACAACTGACGCCAACCTTCACTTTCTTTTAGCATCATCAGGCTCCAAAAGAAACTGAATGAACTCTGCAAGCAATGCAGGACTGGCAGCCTCACGCTGATGTATTATGATTATTGCTGCCCAAACATTTCTCAGACTGGGAGGTCCTGAGGAGAACCTCCCATCAGACTCGGGAAGAACAAGTTTTAAGTGTTTTCATATCTGATTTTAACGAAGGGCATATATGAGATGTCACAAAGCGACACCAAGTCTCTAAGCAGCTCACTCTGTCCTGCAAGGTCCCCATAAGCTCAACACAAGAACGAAGCGTGGCCAGTGACGGTCACCAGCCTTAGAACAGCCTGAGCCACTAACTACATATATTTCAAATTAGGTTTCTGAATGCTTCTTTATTTTATTCTTTGGCCACTCCATGAGGCATATGGGATCTTATTCCCCAACCAGCAATCAAGCCAGTGCCCCTGTATTGGAAGCACAGTCTTAAGTCACTGGATCAACTGGGAAGTCCCTAAACACTTCTTCTGAAGCACAACATGAATCATGCGTGGTGTTTAAAAACCAGGGGAAACAAAAGGCACACGTTTCATTTCTTGCTGGCATTTCATTTCTACAGTCAGGGGCATCATACCTCGTAACACGGGTGCAAATGGGACCCTCGCCGAAGTTCAGAGATCTACTCCCTGGACACATCAACTCCGAGGTTCTAAAATAGATTAACTGTAGGTCAAGTCCAACTTCATAGGGAAGCGAAAATTCTATGACCCATTCCTCATGGTGCAAACAATGGCATAATCAAAGTGTAGGTTAATGCTAAGAAAGTCAGTGGCTGCAGATTTTCTTTTTTTCTTTCAGCAAAGCTGAAACCAAAGCTGAAGGCAAAGACCAAACCCCAGTGACGTCAGCTCCACAAGATGAGATCCAGCTAAAGAAGGACTAGAGAAGCAGTGACTGCACTTGGCTCGATCACTTTAGACTGTTCTGACCTGCAGAGCTTGGTGTAGGTTTGGAGAGGCGCCAGAAAGGTCCCGTCCTGACAGGTCAGACATCAACAAACACCAGCTCGTCACTCATCCATCCACCTGTAACCAAAGTATCAGCCTCATGCACGGCTTTCTTATCCTGTCACCAGAGCTGCCGGCCTTGTTGGCAGAACCTCCTGGGCTCCCAGACAGCACGGGACCTTCAGTAATTCAATCTGTCCTGCTTGGGAGGAGACCCAACAATTCAATGTCAACCTCAAGGTGGCCTTGGTTTGGCATTTCTCCTCAGCCTGATGGAACCCCAGAGCCCCTGCTAAGTCTCATGTCTGGGTCACGGAGCAGTCCTTGGCCACCTTCGGGCAATTTTTTTCACTTGGCCAAAGTCATCACTGAGGCTTACAAGCCAGGCTTCAAAGACCTTAGAACCCAAACTAACCAACCTACTAACTAGCTTACCATCTCCATTAACACAGATTTACTATTCAACTACCTTCAGTAGCATTACTTTAGTATTTCAGACTCCCCACCCAGAAATGACTTGACAGCTCATTACAGAAGTTTCCTAAAATATCCATCAACACAGCATGCACCCTAAAACTCACAGAATGCCTTGCCTCAACATCCTCACCTTGCTGTTTCTGCCAGTCCTGAGCCATTGTTCCCTGATGCCTATTAAGGCTCTACTTTGTCAACCAAATTTCTAATTCTGATTTTTAAGAAAATGTTTATTGGAGCATAGTTGCTTTACGGTGTTCCGTCAGTCTCTGTTGTAGAGCAGAGTGAGTCAGCTGTGTGTACA